AGCATCAACCACGCTTACCCTGTCACCCGCGCTTACCCTCGTCACCCGCGCTTACCCGCGTTTCCCGCGCGTACCCGCGTTTCCCGCGCTTACCCGAGGTCACCCGCGCTTACCCGCATCATCACCGCTTGCCCGCGTCTCGCGCTCTTTCCCGCGTGTGAAACGCTTACCAGAATCTCCCGCACTTACCCTCGTCTCTTGCGTTGCTCCTCAACGCCCTCGCCTCCTGTTGAGTACTCTGTTTCCCCCATCCACACGCACTCCCCCTTATCGCCCATGTCTACCCAAGTCGCCACTCCCCGTCGGTAGCGAAGGCCCCCATACACCACCAGCATCCCCCCCACTTGTCCGCCTCCTGTCCCCCCCACACACCACCAGCATCTCCCCCACTTGTCCGCCTCCTGTCCCCCCCACACACCACCAGCATCCCCCCCACGTGTCCGCTTCCTGTCCCCCCTACACACCACCAGCATCCCCCCCACTTGTCCGCCTCCTGTCCCCCCCACACACCACCAGCATCCCCCCCACGTGTCCGCTTCCTGTCCCCCCTACACACCACCAGCATCCCCCCCACTTGTCCGCCTCCTGTCCCCCCCACACACCACCAACATCCTCCCCACTTGTGAGAGGGGGAGGGACAGAGGGGAAGGTACAGAGGGGGAGTGAAAGAGGGGTAGGGACAAAAAGGCAGGGACGAGGGGGGAGGGATAGAGGGGGAGGGACAGAGGGGGAGGGACAGTGGGGGAGGGACAGAGGGGAGGGAACGAGGGGAGGGAACACGTGGGAGGGACAGAGGGGGAGGGTGAGATAAGGTGCAAACAGTGTCAGGGGTGGAGGGGGGCCTGTTTGTGTAGCTTTGTCCGTCCACCTTCCCTCTCTTCCTCCCTCCATCTATCCGTCTCCCCTCACTTCCTCTCTCCCTCCGTCCCTCCCTACCTTGCTCGTGACCTTTCTTCCGCTGTCCCCCTCTCCCTCTCCCTCTCTTCCCTCACTCCCTGCCTCCCTCCCCCTTCCTCCCTCTCTCTCTCTCTCTGTCCCTCACCCCCTCTCTCTCTCTCTCTCTCTCTCTCTCTCTCTCTCTCTCTCTCTCTCTCTCTCTCTCTCTCTCTCGAACGGTCCTTGGTTTTATGTCAGCAAGGTACACACAAGGTAAGGCATACCCACGGCTAAGCCCCAGCCACAGAATACTAACCCAGCGCTACTACAACCGCCCCTTCCCCTACCGGCCCTAGTGGCCGGAGGGGTCTTCTATCAACTGGTACAGCTGCCCCTCGCTCATTGGAGTAAACGGGCCCTGCAGGCCAAGCACATCCGCTGTAAGAGCCTCATGGGTCTTATCCCTGAGGGCGTTGGCTTGTGGTCTCTGCAGGGTCACGCTCCACCGCTGCCGGTACTCGGTGAGTAGCTTGGCGGCCTCCCTCGACTTGGGGGCAGCGTTGAACCGCCGCTTGGCCGCTAGCTCCGCGCAGCTGCGGAGGAAATCGAGGACTCCAGGTGAGGGGTAACCGTATGTCTCTACTGCCATGGCGTAAAAGCCCACCCAAGCGCTCCTCCCCGCGTACTTGGTCTCCTGCATCCTTGCAGCCCAACCGGGTGCCTTACGAGCATATTCATCCTGGTGGGAGACGGGGTCCGTGACAGTGATGTCACAAATCCACACCTCACCGGTGTCGGGATGGCGGATAGAGATATCCGCTTTGAGGTTTTCGACCGGTGAGTATGCCGTTGTCTCCTTATGCACTGTGAAGCCCGCTTCAGCCGCTATCTTTGCGCACTCGTCCCGCAAGGCATGGTGAATGGCTATTCTACCCCTCCTTTCTCGCACCGCATCAGATGGTTCGGTAGGCGGTCATCAGGGAAAGTGGTACGGTATCTGCAGTCACATCGTCTTGGCACAGGTAGGGGCAGGCCGAGGCGGAAGGAGGCTGCCGTGGAGAATTCAGACGGCCCGAGGCGAAGGGGAGAGATCAGGGGGACGGCGAGCAGCCAGTCCCCCGCTCCAGGGCCTAAGAGAGATTGCAGCCTCTGCGTATGGCCGAACAGCGGGTTCGGCTCCATGTTCCGCGAGTTGTCCAGAAGTTGGATGAACCGAGCAGAGTGAACCGCGAGGGAGAGAGACTGCTGCAGCTTTTGCCCGTCTGGCTTTTGTCTCCCCCCTGGAGAGCCTTAATCCCGTCAGGGGGCAGCACGGCTTCTAGCGAGGGGAGGCGTCTCGGGAGGAGGGAGGTTGACTCTCCGTTTGCATCCAACAGCGGCAGCAGACCTGCGAGAGCCGAGTTTAAAGAGTCACCATACAAGGAGCGCAGCAGGTGAGCAGCCGCGACGACTGATGCCAGGTAGGCAAAACCCCCCTCCACTGTAGGGTTGGTGATGCCGAGGCCTCCCAGGGATGCGGGCAGGGCGGCCTGGTGCCAGATCCTTTCTCGCTCGGCCCGGACTCTGGGGATCGTTGTGTGAGCCGTTGCCATGTAGGTGTGGAACAGCGTTTCCCCCCAGGCCGACCATTCCCCCAACGGCAGGGCCTCAAGTGGCGTGGTTCGGACCAGGAACGACGCGCGGCGGCTCACACAGCGGGTGAGTAGAAGCAGGCAGAGTTGCGGGTCCATCTGCGAGAGGAGTGGGAGCGGCTCAGCTGCTGCAGAGAGGCGTTCCCGCACTCGAGCAGCGCAGCATGTGGTGGGGCCGACCGGGCTGCCTAAGACACGGACACCGTCCGGGGAGATTGTGACGCCAGGGGGTAAGTTGGTGGGCTCCAGGGTGGCGGCGGACCACGCTTCGCATTTCGCGGGGTTGTGAACCAGGCCGTGGCTGAGGAGGGCCCCTGTGAGGTGCGTGAAGGCCGCGGTGCAGTTCGCAGTCTCGCCTAGCAGCGTGATGTCGTCCGCGTACGCGAGAAGCACCACCTCCGGATGAGCCTCCGCCGTTGCTTCGAGGCAGGGATGGATGCTGGCCGCAAACAGCATTGGTCCCAGCGGATCCCCCTGGCGCACGCCTCTAGCGCTCAGCAGGGGCGCTGCATCGAAGTCATGGTCGAGGTAGAGGGTGGATGGGCGGCCGTATGAGAGGCGGACGAGTGGAACCGGAGTGTCCAGTTTCGTCCCCTTCAGACCCTCGAACACCGCCGCGCGCTCCACTGCGTTGAAGGCGTTTGCTAGATCAATTTGGAGGGCCGTTGCGCCGGGGGACTCCTCCAGGTAAGTGCGGGCCGCGTGAACAGCAGCCTCAATGCCCCCAGCAATTGCGACTCCAAACTGCAGTGGGGAGAAGTGCTCACGCGCCGCAGGGGCTGCCAGAAACAGGGCTGCCTTGGCGATGATTCGTAGTAGGCATTCTCCTACAGCTATGGGTCTCGTTCCGCCTTGGGGTTTCGAGAATGCTAGTAGACGCGACGCTGTGAGTAAATCTGCCGCGTCTGCGTTCAGGTTTCCAGCTAACGCCGTGTTGGTAAGTGCGTGCAGCTGCAGGAAGACGTCGGCGTTCCCCAGGGCTGCATCTCTCAGGTGCTCGAACGTAGTTCCTGAGGGGCCGACTCCTACGTCGTTTGGGCATCGAGCTAGCAGCCGCCTGAAGTCGCGAGCTGCGATTGAGGGTAGAGTCTCAGGGGCGAAGCCATGCACCTAGTCCGGGATAGCCAGGGTGGCCCCTGGGTGCCTGGACGCAAGTGCGCTCAAAACTTCAGCGCTTGGCGTGCTGATAGGCGTGGCAGTCAGTGACTTGAGGGACTTTGCCAGATTCCCTCTTTTGGCTAATCCCTCTGCCCTCGCCAGATTTCCGGTGGAGTCAGGTACGTGTCGTGGCTGCGGGTTGCTGGTAACTGCCTCAGCCGCCTCGTCTTACAGGCCGCGCCACAAGCCCTGGCGAAAACGCGTCAGTCTGTCGCCCATCGTCTTCCAGTCTGGTCTGCGTGCTGACGAAGTGAGCAACAGGATTCGCGGGAGGAACATCAGCAGCTTCCATCCAGGTGAGGAGTCAGGGTTTTCTGTGAGGTGAAGCAGCGGGGTCAGCATACAGATGGCGAAAGATTCGCGACGTGGGCGGGGGGGGTGGCGGGCGAGGGGTGGCTGTCTGCTGTCGCGAAGTGGGCAGAGGTCCCAGTGGGCGATGTCAGCGAAAAGGTCCTCCCTGCCTGCCAGGTCGTCAGCGCTGATGATTGGCGCGGGGTTGGCAGGCGCTGGGGCCGTGTTATTGGCTGGCGTGGTGGTAACCGCGTTGTTGGTGGCGGCTCGGTTCCCCCCTGCGGTCCGATTTTGTGGGGTTGGAATTGCAGATGCGGCTCGGTCCTGGGTTGGAATGTGGCCCACTCCTTGAGTAGGGACCGCCTCCTCCTCCTTCGTCGAGGGACTCGAACTCCCCTCCCTTTCGGGGATAAAGGAGGGGTCACCCCGAGAACCATTCTCAGATTTGACTCCAAGTGTTTCTTCCCCCTCCCGAGCTCTCCGCCGTAACACCCGCTCTGCTGCTCTGGCGTAGCCACTAGCTCCTCTCCTATGCGACACGACGCCGCGCCCTCGTCCGCGGCGGCTGCTGCCTCGTCCTACACGAATTCCCCGCGCATTCCTTCCTCTGGCCGCTCTCGTGCGCCTCGGTTGTGGTGCAGCGGCAACATCGACTTCTCCTTGTCGGTGCGCTGGCGACGGCTGCGGTGGTATCGAGGGTACGGCGGGACGTGATCCGGCACTGGAGGGTACGGCGGAGAGCGCGCAGCCTGAGCGGGAGCTTGCCGCACCTCGTCCGCGTCCCTCAGCACGCCCCGCCGCAAGTGAGCCCGTCCGCCGCCTCGAGCACAACCTCTCTCTTCCTCTTCGCGGCCTTCCTCAGCCCCCCCTCGCTTGAGTACTCATGGGCCCTTGCCCGGGTTGCATCGAACCACCCTGCGGGTCGGGCTCGTCAGGAGCCACCGCGTTCGCCGCCGCGCCAGCCGCCGCGATAGCAGTCTCCTCGGCGTCGGTCCCCAGAGCGTTGCGAGCAGCACCGCCACGGTTCTGGCGATCAGATGTCCCCTACAAGCCCTCGCTCTCCTCGCCAACACTCCCCCCGAGGTCGGGCAACCCAGCGTTCACCGCGAGCGCGATCCCCCGCTCAGCCCTCTCCGTGTCGATCTCCGGCGAGGCGGGGGAGGGGGTCCCCTGGGCGTCGGTGGGATACTGGGCGTCGCGAGCAGTCCCCTCCGCAACCGCATTCCGCTGGCTCTGGGGGCCGACGGGGTCGGCGCAATGGAGCCGGTCGCGGACAGGATCCTGCGGTTGATCAGGCCATGAACGCATTTGCAGCGGCGGTGCACCAGGCGCGGGAGAGTGGGGAGCCGGCGCACGTCCATATCGAGGTAACCAACGGGCCTCCTCACGCCACAGCCCCTGAGGTCGCGGCTCCTCTGCACGCGCCGACATTGAGCGAGTATCTGCCCGCGCGAGAGGCAAGGGCGATGTTCCGCACCCCTCGGCAGGTCCCTGGCTACTCCACGCACCACTACTCGGTTGGCCGCACCCCGAGCCTGGCGATGGCGTATCCGCGAGAAGCTCCGATTGTACCCCCCCCCCCCACTCGCGCGGGGAGAGACCCCATGCTGACAATGTGCCGAATGCTGAGTCTCGCGGAGGCGTGCGAGGTGGTGGCGAGCCTACAGATGGCGGCGTGTGGGGCCATGCGAAGCTCACCGGGCAGTTTCGCTCCAGGTCCCCGAGGGTCGTGCGCGTCTTGGGCAGAAGCGCTCGCCCCGATCTTGGCGCCCGTGTCGGAAGCGCCCGCCGGGGTAGCGCCCTTAGCGCGTACCTTCCCCCGCCACGTGGAGGATCTTGTAGGGGCTGCTCGTGTTGGGACGCCGACGGAGACTCTCCACTCGTCAGCGCAGCTCCTCCTCGCGGTGTCGGCGTGCATGCGCTCGATGCTGGAGGTGGAAGGGGCGGAGCCGTACACGGTGTAGGCCTCCGCCTTGTGTAGAACTGCATGCCTTCTTTCCTTGATGATGCCCCGCTCCCTTGCTTCAGTTGGGTGTTTGTACTCCCTTAGATGGCAATCCTCAGTTTTGTTCCTTGCCACCAGGAGCGCGCGGACGAAGGCCGCGCATGCGAGCGGCGGCGGCCGAAGGCCGCCGGCGCGAGCCGCCGAATTTGAGCTCGCCACGAAATAATGAAGAGGAATAAGCACAAGGAGCCAATAAATAGCTCGGGAGGGTAGAGGGCAGAGGGATGAGGCAGAGGGCAGAGGGCTAAGGGATCCTCTCTCTCTCTCTCTCTCTCTCTCTCTCTCTCTCTCTCTCTCTCTCTCTCTCTCTCTCTCTCTCTCTCTCTCTCTCTCTCTCTCTCTCTCTCTCTCGCGAGCCGCCGAATTTGAGCTCGCCACGAAATAATGAAGAGGAACAAGCACAAGGAGCCAATAAATAGCTCGGGAGGGAAGAGGGCAGAGGGATGAGGCAGAGGGCAGAGGGCTAAGGGATCCTCTCTCTCTCTCTCTCTCTCTCTCTCTCTCTCTCTCTCTCTCTCTCTCTCTCTCTCTCTCTCTCTCTCTATCTCTCTCTCTCTCTCTCTCTCTCGAATGGTCCTTGCATTGATATAGGCTGTGTACACACATGCAGGAGGTATAGAGTAGTACAGTCCATGCCTTAACCTACCACCGCTCGGCTTCCTAGCTTCCATCTCATGGGACCCACCCCTCCTCCCCCCTTAAGGGATGTCCAGGGCGGGTTCTAGCACTGAGAGACAGTCCCCCAGGGACGGTGATTCCACCCCCGTCTCGAACAAGGGGTTTTCTGCTGCGGCTGCAAGGCCACACTTCTCGAGGAACCCTACTAACTACCCCCTCTGCAGAGCCACCGACCAACGCTGCCGATATTGGTGTAAGAGCTTGGCAGCCTGATACGAGGTGGGCTCAGCATTAAAAAACCTACGTGCAGCCGTGTCGGCTAGTAGCTTTACGAAGTCTACTACTTCCGGGCAGGCACCCGTAGGTTTCTACTGCGAGTGGGAAGAACTTTACCCACTCGGGGCGGTCCTTATAGTGGCCTTGCTTCTTGGAAGCCGCCTCCTGTGCAGCCCACCCCCGTCCTTTGGTCGCGTGTTCGTCCCGTGTACTGATTGGGTCTGTGATCGTTACGTCACAGATGTACACGGCTGCGGAGGATCGATCCCGCATTGCTATGTCTGCTTTCTTCTCCTCCACAGGGCTGAAAGCGGCTGTCTCCTTGTGAACCATGAAACCGGTGTCGTGTGCCATTCGCGCACATTTGTCACGGAGCTCGTTGTGTGTGTTAATTCTTCCTCCCCCCGTGCCACACCGCAGCAGATGATTCGGGAGCCTTTTATCGGGGATTTTCACTTGTTTCTTGCAGTTGCAGGCGCCGAGAGCAGCGAAGGGGAGGCCCAGCCGAAACTGTACTGCGCTGGCGTAGTGGGGGGCTTAGGGGATCAGGGGAACCGCGTTCAACCAATCCCCCGCCCCGTATCCCGACAGAGATAGAAGCCGCTGGGTGTGGCCGCAGTTGTGGCTTGGCCTCATTCCCCTCGCCGCCTCGACCTGTACGGCGTAGCGCTGCCCTTGCAAAGCAGTGGCGAGTCCGTGTTGCAACTTACGGTCCGTTGGGGTTGCCCTCTCCAATTGGAGCAGCTCCTAGGCCGGCAGCGGCAGGTTCCCTTCGCACTCCGTGAGTGCAGAGGAGCTGGTGTATGGCCCGCGCATCTGCTCCCTCGTCTCCCCCAGGGGGCCAATGCGGCCGCTGTCCAAAGTGTCGAGTAGTTGCTGCGCCTGTGTGAAGCTGGCCAGAAAACTGTAGCGCCCTTCGATTGATGGGTCAGTCAAGCCGAGTCCCCCGAGCGACACTGGGAGCGAGGCTTGGGCCCATGTACGGGAGGTCTCCGCCTCACCCCGCGGGTGATTAATGCCGCAAGCAGTAAGCAAGCACTTCAAGAGCCTCCGTCCCTAGCCCGACCATTCCTCATCAGGTAGGTTCGGCAGCGGCGTCGTGCGGGCCAGGTAAGAAACGCGGCGGAATATGCACCGTGACAGCAGCAGGCCAGCCAACTATGGCTCCATCCGTCCGATCAGTTCCAGGGGTGAGCTCATCGCCTCTAGGCTGTTTCGTACAAAGCTTGAAGTTGCGGCTGTATTGCCGATGAAGCTACCCAGCACCTTCAATCCGTCTCTGCTTAGCGGTACACCGACGGATAAGCTGAGCTCCGGGGACGCCCCACTCGACCAGGATGCGCACTTGGTCGGGTTGTGGGTTAGACCGATTCCCGCCAAGCTGTCCGTGAAGTGGTTGAAGGCAGCCGCGCATGCGCTGTGTTCTCCAAACGACCGAGGGATGCGCGTCCGCCGCCGCCTTTAGGGCAGGGTGCATAGCCGCAGCGAATAGTAGGGGGCCGAGGGGGTCACCCTGGCGAACCCCCATCTCACTGCTTAGCGGCTCGTGGTCAAATGCGGCATCCAGTAGCAGGGGGACGGCTGGCTATAGGTGAGTTTGACCAGCGGCAGCAGCGGCTCTAGTTTGGAGCCCTTTAGGGCCGTCGCGATGGCTTGGCGGTCCACACTGTTAAACGCGTTTGCAAGGTCCGCCTGTAGGACTAACGCGTTCGAGTTTGCCGACGTAAGTGTGCGGATGATGTGAATTACGGCCTCGGCTCTGCCCGTCACGGCTACGCCAAACTGCAAGGGGAGGAAAAACTCCCTTGCCTTGTCCGCCAGCTGGGTAAGTGCCGCTTATGCTGCTAGCCTAAGGATACACTCCCCGATGGCGATGGGTCTAGTCCCTCCGTCTGGCTTAGTGAGGGCTATCTGTCTTGATGCCGAGAGTAACTTTCCGATCTCAAGAGGCAGCTTCCCACTCAGCACGGTGTTGACCAGGGCATGCAGGTGAGTGCCCACTGCGGAGTGGACCAGGGCGGCTTCGCGAAAGTGCTCGAACGTAGTGCCCGAGGGACCCGCTCCAACCCCATTTTCGCATCGCGACAAGGTTTCCATGAAACATCCCAGTGTTACTGACGGGTGGTTGTCAGGCTCTGGCTAGGGCCATGGGAAACTAGGGCTCGCTGCTCTAGGGTGCTTGGCGCGGAGGGAATCCAGAACCGCTGGCGAAGGCGTGCTGACTGGAGTGGCTTCCAGAGCCATAACTGCCCTCCTGAGACTGCCACGTCGCGATAGTCCTCCGGCACTGGAGATCACTCCCAGTTCGTCAGGTTGGTGTTTTGGAGGGGCGGGATCCTCCAATGAGTCCACTGCTTGCTGGTAAAGCGAATCCCATTCTTCACGAACTGGCGCAGGCAATTCCTGGTCGCCTTCCAATCAGGGAATCGAGTGGATTGCTGACGCAGAGTCAGACGAGTGGCAAAAAGCAGGACAGTCCAGGCTAGCACTGAGTCTGGATCTTTTGCGAGTCGCAGTAGCGGGGTCAGGATGACCATTGCGAACCAGAGGCGCAGTTTCTCTGGCAGGCGTCGCGCCAGGTGTGCCTGACGACTGTCGCAGAGTTGCGCGAGGTTCCAGTTTCTGGCACCGGCGATTAGTGCATCGTCTTTGGCGAGGGCCTCTGGCGATTTTTGGTGGGGAGACTGGGTCTGCGGCTGGTTACCCCTCGCGGCGGTTTGCTGGACATTTGCGGGTGTTAGGGTTAGGGTTTGATTGGCTGGTTGACTGGTAGTGGTAGCTGGGATTTGGGACGCGGCTCGGGTCTGGGTTGGAGTTCGGGATTGGGTGGGAGGACCTCTCGAATTTGGGGATGCGGCTCGGGAGTGGGTTGGGCCAATTACGCGTCGAACAGGGGCTCCTGACCTAGCCTCTTTAGAGGTTTTTGGACTCGAGGTTGACTCTGCGGACTCCTCCTCCTCTTCATAAATACTCCCCGACAAAGCAGACTCTTCATTAGCTCTCGATATCTCAATTAAAACCCTCTTCGCCACGGCCAAGGTAACCGTTCTCCGGGCCTCCTCCTTGCGCGACCCTTGCGCAACTGCCGCCTCCCGCGCAACCTCCGCCTCCCAGTGTTGCGGTCGCGGTTGCCCGCGGGCTTGTCCGCCCGTCTTCCCTTTGTGTCAACGAACGAGCACCATCAACGCCCTCTGCCGCCGCGTTCTCGGTGATGGCGACGGAGGTTGAGAAGTCTGTGGTCGATCAAGGCCACACCGCGGAGAGCGCGGTTGAATTGAACCCCACTTAGGAGGTATATCGTTGCGTGGCAGCGGCTTTGTTTAGTTAAAAATTTTGTTGTAGGGCTTGCTAAGAGACCTTTGTAAAAAATGTGGTGGTAACTAGTTTCGGCTTTGAGCCTTCTTCAGACCACAATGGCACGGATGAGCAAGCAAGCACCCTAAATACCAATCCCGGGGGCTCCAGCGCGAGGCATTCCTTCGCGGGGCTGGGATGGCAGGGAAAAGCTAGATAGAAACAATAGAAAACTACTCTACAGTAAACTAGCACTTATGAGCAGAAATTACAAAATTATCTACTCTGTTAGGTAACCTCCAAGCAATGATACTTCTTGGTGTAGAAAAGACGCCGTGTGACATTATACTGAGCTGACTTTTGAGTCGACTCAAAATGTTCCCCAGATGCGAACGGTCAACCAGCGGGTTGAGCAGGAGTTTCAGCACGAGGAGGCCACGGGCGGAAGGGGTATTGCGTAAGGCGGAGGCACGTTGAATCAGATCCCCACGGTCGGAGAAAGGGGCTGACTTGAAAATGGGAAGAAGAAACTTCTCCGGGTACCCGCGTGCCCGTAAACGAGCAAAGAAAAGAGCACGGGAATGAAAAAAGTCAGAACGCGAGGAAGAGCGCAGGAGAAAGCGCTGCAACTCGTTGCGGATAAAACCCATCTTGGTGGTTCTGGTATGGTATGACTTAAACGGCAAATATAAGTAGCGGTTCATCGGCTTCTGGTACAGCTTCATGTCGAGAGTGCCAGTGTTGGAGAACCTCTCCCCTTAAAAACCGTAAGGTCCAGAAAATCCATGGTAACGTCAGAAACCACCCAGGTCAAATGAATTGAAGGATGTAAATAATCAAACCGTTGATGAAAGCTGACGAAGTCTTCCTTGGTTCCCTCCTGCAACACCAAACCATCGTCAATGAAACGAAAATGTAAGGCGGGAGAAACACGAAGCGAAGCGTGCAGCTGAATGTCAAGGTAGCTCAGGAACAGCACAGTGAAGAAAACAACTAACGAAGTACCTATCGCAGTGCCTTGAATCTGGCGGAAAAAACCGGCCGTTGAAAGAAACGTAGCTATTGAACATCACCCATCTGAGAAGACGAACGGAATTGACGGGTAGAGTGACTCAACCTTATAGGAAGCCAGCAGCAGATTAGAAGGAAAAGAACGCTTCTCGAGATGAGGAATGAGGCTTTGAGAGTCCTTGACATACGTTGGCTGCTTAAGAACCAGCGGCCTGAGGACGGAATCTAGCCAACGAGAAACGTTAGTAGTGATCCAGGAATGGCAAGCCGCGATAGGCCTACCAGCAGGAATCTTCCAGCCGTCCTTAGGTTGATGAAAGAAAGAGTCCCAGACCCTGGATTTAATGAGACTGCTCCATTCTGAACGAATAGACTCCGTAGACACCGTAGACACCGTAGTCACCGTAGACACCGCCACCGTTCACAATAGACACCGTAGACTTTGTCATTAAGTAGATGCTTCAGGCATTGATCCTGATAATTGTCTCTGCTCATAACCGTTAGTCCAAGATCCTTATCCGCCGGTTTAAAAATGAGATAAGGATTCTTTGCTAAACGTCGTAAGAAGCGCGTTCTTAGATTTCGGGGTGAAGGAGGTGAAACTCTGACCGGTAACTTCTTTAACGGCTGCTTCTTTAAACACCGCCAGCGCAGCTTCAATTTCAGGTGAGGCTGGTGGAGGATCCCAGTTTGTTCTCTTAGGTAACTTGTACCCTGAATAACCGAAAGAGTCAGATCCATTAAAGAGGTACATGGTGCGAACACTCCTAAAGAAATCAGAGATCTCAGCTTCAAAGCTAGCGACAGTGCGAACAACAGGGACGGGAATGAATTGAAGTCCAAGGCTTAAGAGATTTAGTTTTTGTCGGGAGAAAGAATGGTCACTGAAATTGTGGATACCGCGGTCGGTGACACGGCATTGCAGCTGGTACTCTGTTAGTCGTCCGAAGAGCACCAGAGCAAACGAGTGCACATCACTCATTACTGCCAAGTCGTTTTTCCGCGGCCTCCGCCTCCCCCGTTTTTTGTCACATGATCCTTCCGGGAAGAAAAGGAGGAGGAGCAGTTGCGTCCGTTAGTCTTAGAGACGTTGCGAACAGCTGTCTTAGAGTAAGATCGGCGGACGGTTTTTACTGCGGCTGCCTCAACTTCGTCGACTTTCTGCTTTTGCTTCTGCTTCGTCAGAGTCTACTTCTTGCCGTTGGAAGTTTTACCATTGGCTTTAGGAGTCGTGCGGGACTTCTTGCCTGCGCTGGCGTTCTTCCTAACAGGAATACCAGAGTTGTTAGATTTAGAATTACGATTTTCTGAAACAACAGCCTTATCCTTGGCAGCGTTGTTGCTGGTCTTTTTCGCAGATGTCTTAACAGGAGTCTTAACAGGAGCCTGCTTCATTACCTTCTGCACCTCTTGACGAGCAATCTCTCAAACGGTGCGTTCAACCGGCAGATTCTCAGCTTCCTCAGCAGCTGCCTTTTTCTTAGCGTCAAGCTCCTCTTTTTTCTGCTTCAGAAGAACTTCCGCCATGTTAGTTTCCATGTAGACAATACGGACAGAATCCTTGAACTCCGTCAGAACTCGTGACTTGAAAATGTCAAGGCTAGCGATCAGCTTCGGATTCTTGATGCCGAGATTGGACTTCTTATTAAGGTTGATAAAATTGTCGATGTGATGAATCAGCGAGTGATAAACAGCACCGGCGTCACTGAAGGCCTTGTCAGCAGCTTTCTTCTTCATAGAAATCAGAATATTCTGCGTGCTCTGGCAATACGCCAGCTTAGCGGCTTCCAAGTCCTTATCTGCTTCTTGGCAAATATCTTCGGCATGGCAGACGAAATTGAAGGATTTGATCCGAATAGAGTGCGGAATGATTCCATTGTTATTCTGTTCCTCCATGAAATTATATTGCTGTAATAGCGTCCGATGCTTCATGAAATGCTTTTTGAAGTCATTGACGGCTTGAGTCTTGAGAGACTTAAAGAAGGCTGGTGTAGCCTGCTGATCCAGAAAAGAAGCGTTAATGTCACTGAGAAAATCAAGTGAATCCAGCATGATGGTGTCACGAGTGACGGAGTCCTGGATTCCTTGAACAGCTTCTTGTCCCGGAACCGTCGTGTTAGCATTAGGAGCCATCGTAACGGGAGTAATGCTGGGAACGTTAACAGACTTTGCGAGAGTAGCACCAGAATTATCAAGAGCTCTCCTCTTGCAATGTCGAGAAGCAGAAGGAGAATGTGGAAAGTCCCTTTCGAAGACCGGCTCTTTATCCGGGCAAAGCTGCGAATTCCTTCGCGATGCTCTCAATGCCCTTGGGATATTCGAGACGCGGTCAGTGACATTGTTGGTAGTAGAGTTGTTTGATGCTTTAAACTTAAAGCCGGCCATCGCAGTGGTATCAACTGACAGTCCAATGGAACCCCACGTAGGAGGCATATTGTTGCGTGGCAGAGGCTTTGTTTAGTTTAAAAAATTGTAGTATGGCTTGCTAAGAGACCTTTGTAAAAATGTGGTGGTAACTAGTTTCGGCTTTGAGCCTTCTTCAGACCTCAAAGGCACGAATGAGCAACCAAGCACCCTAAATACCAATCCCGGGGGCTCCAGCGCTATCCATTCCTTTGCGGGGCTGGGATGGCAGGGAAAAGCTAGATAGAAACAGTAGAAAACTACTTTACAGTAAACTAGCACTTATGAGCAGAGATATAAAAATTACCTACTCTGTTAGGTAACCTCCAAGCAATAGTACTTCTTCGTGTAGAAAAGACGCCGTGTGACATTATACTGAGCTGACTTTTGAGTCGACTCAAAAGTCAGCGCATTCTCGGTGATGGCGACGGAGGCTGAGAAGTCTGTGGTCGATTAAGGCCACACTGCGGTGAGCGCGGTTGTTCCGCTCCCGCTTCCTGCGTCTGCCACCGCTGTTGCGCTCCCCGCTCCCCGTGCGGCCGCTGCCCCAGTTGTCCCTGCTCCACCTGCTGTGGAGGTGCCGCCGAGCCTCCCAATTCCCTGTGCTTGGCGCGACGCTTCCTGCACCGCGGCAGGGTCTAGAGACTCTTCCGCTCGCCCCAGCTGCCGCGCGGGCGCTGCGCTGGGGACCGCGGCGGGCGTCGGCCCCGGTTCGTCGCGCATGGTGACCCCCGCAGCAACATCTGTTCCGCCCGCTGCGGATCGATCTGAACAGCGTGAGCGTCCCGCGGAGTCCAAGAGCCGCAGTGCCGCTGGACAGGCGGTGGCGCAACGGGGGCGCAGATCTCCCCGGCGTCGTCCCTCCACCTCGTATCGTTCTGCACATCGCGGAGGCCGCGGTGGCTGGTGGGGAGGTCACGGTCGCGGGCGTGGTGGGATGAACGAAGTGCAGCAGCTGCGCGAAAAATTTCCGGGGATGCTGGCTGCTAGATGCGCGCCGCGCTGGCGTCGGCGCCGGATCTTGGAAGCTCTCTGGCTCCCACGGCTGCCGCGTATGCCTCTGCTCCGGTGTCTGAGCCTGCGCCGTCGGCACCTCTTGCGGCTCCTGCGCTAAGCGTTCCGGCGTACGCGCACCATCCCGCTCACACCGCAGAGCGTGCGCCACAGGCAGGCCCCCGTCCTGTCTCTGCTGCTCCGTATCCCCCCCTGCCCTGGATTCCTCCTGTTCCGGGCATGGGATTTGTGGCAGCGGGAGGCGGAGAGGCGAGGGCGCCGTTCGTCCCTCCGCGTCGGACTGCAGATGTCGCGTCCGAGCCGCCTCCTCCCTTCCTTCCTGGTCCTGCTGTAGCGCTGGATCAGGGCACGGTCCAAGTGCCCACGGCGACTCTTGCGCAGCTGTGGCACTTGGTGGAGTGTCAGCAGGCCCTGACACTGATTCTGGTGAACGCACACTTTGCCATTCTCCGGAGCCCAGGGAGCACTCTCGATCCGCGTCCACGAGCTGAATGCTTGACAGCGGCCGCACAGTTTGCGCTCCTCTTGCTGCCATTGCTGGCAGCGCCCGCGCCGGGAGGCGTGGCGGTCTCGCAGCTGGACGAGACTGTCCACGATCTGACAGGGCACCTGCGTGACGGGGGCGGGGTTGAAGTTGTCGGCGCGACTGCGTTAGTAGTCCGACTGCTGTGGAGGACCATGCGTGGTATCCTCGCGGCCCTGGATGCCCATCAGATGTAGTCTCGGGCACCCGCCGCACGTAGACTCGTTGCATTTCTAGCTAATAGTGTCTTACGGTAGCCGCTGTTGTCATGATGTGAATTCTTGGTATTATAACATGTCCTGTTTTAGCAGGCCCCAAAGGCACGCAGCCGAAGGCCGCCGACGCGAGCGCCGCTGGTTTTCGAACTCAAATGAGCTAATGAGAGGAACAACAACCACAGCAGGCTTTATATAGCTCTAGGATAGAGGTCAGAGGGAAGAGGGCAGAGGGAGGCTAAGTCCTCTCTCTCTCTCTCTCTCTCTCTCTCTCTCTCTCTCTCTCTCTCTCTCTCTCTCTCTCTCTCTCTCTCTCTCCTTTCCTTCTCCCCCTCAATCTCGCTCCTTCTTTCCCACGGACAGAAGGAGAAGGACAAGGGGTTTAGGGGGGAGGACAGATGGGGAGAGACAGAGGGGGCAGGAACAGGGGGGAGGACAGAGGGGGAGAGACAGAGGGGGAAGGGCAAAGGGGGAGAGACAGAGGGTGAAGGACACAGGTGGAGTGACAGATGGTGAAGGGCATAGGGGGGGAGACAGAAGGGGAAGGATGGAGGGGGAGGATAAGAGGGGGAGGGGCAGAGAGGGGGGAGGACAGAGGGTGAGAGCGGGTACTTCCTTCACTCCCTCTCCCCGTCGACCTCACGTCGCCCTAATTGTTTACACCCCTCTTTATTTCGACTAACCTCCCTTTCGTCCACCAGCTCTGTTTACCCCCCAGTCTATTCTCCTTTGCCTCACCTGCTACTCCCCCTTCCCTCCGCCCTGCTTCCCCCTCCCTCCTCCCTGCTTCCCCCCTCCCTCCTCCATGCTTCCCCCCTCCCTCCTCCCTGCTTCCCCCCTCCCTCCTCCCTGCTTCCCCCCTCCCTCCTCCCTGCTTCCACCCTCCCTCCTCCCTGCTTCCCCCCTCCCTCCTCCCTGCTTCCCCCCTCCCTCCGCCCTGCTTCCCCCCTCCGTCCCCCCTGCTTCCCCCCTCCGTCCCTGCTTCCCCCCACCCTCCTCCCTGCTTCCCCCCTCCCTCCGCCCTGCTTCCCCCCTCCGTCCCCCTTGCTTCCCCACTCCCTCCGCCGTGCTTCCCCCCTCCGTCCCCCCCGCTTCCCCCCTCCCTCTTCCCTGCTTCCCCCCTTCCTCCGCCCTGCTTCCCCCCTCCAGCGAAGGCTGGTGTATGCGATGGCTGGTGTATGCCACAAGGTTATCCTCAAATCTTCACTCGTTTCACGTGGATTAACCCCAAGGTGGCGTATATCCTCAGTAGTCACCCTGTGGCGTGGAAGGTGGATGGGCAGTGCAAGGGGCGTGCTGCATGATGCATGGTGTACCTCAATTCGGTTTGAGGTGGTTTGAGCTGATTTGATGTCATGTGACCAATCCTCTCTCCCACCCGTGAACATCACCAACCTCCCATTCATCAGGTCATGGAACAGCAGACAATGTCAGTGGCCAAGGCAGGCATCATTGCAACCCTCAACGCACGCACGTCTGTGCTCGCCTGCGCCAACCAATCGGTCCTTGTACTTGCCAATGCCATTCATATCTGTGCCTCCCCTCTTCCCACACCTGGTCATGGAGCGGCAGACTGTCTCAGTGGCCAAGGTGGGTAGCATTACCACGATCAACGCACGCACGTCTGTCCTGTCGAGAGAGGTGCAGTCTTATGCCCTGCCGCTCGTCCCTTCCCTCCCCCGACCATTTTTTCACCAACAAACAGTTCCTGCCCCACAATCGTCTCTCCCCTTCCCCACTCAACCCCACTCAGGATGATTGTGCGCTCGCAAGCAGCGGCATGTTGCTGGTGTTCGGAAAGGTGCATCCAGAAGCCCTGCCACTCTTCCCTTGACTCTCCGGGCAATTGCCCTCATCCAAGCCACACTGCTTTTTGTTGGGTGCAAAATATTTTTTTTTGCACGTCAAGCAGCCGCCTGCGTCGCAAATTGCATTTTGTGTGAGTACGCATTTTTCATTTTCATTTTGTGAACGTTCTGTGCGCATTTGTTCTTGCTTTTGTGTGCTTCGTTTTCATTCGTAATTGCATTTTGTGCTTGAGCATTTTCAGTTTCGTTTTCACTGTTCTCATGAAGCTCCCATGAAGTGGTCAAATGAGACCCTCATGATGCGCTCAAATGAGGCTCATGCGAAGTCTCAAATGAGGCCCTCATGAAACTCAAATGCGTGTTTTTTTTTTTTTTTTTTTTTTTTAACGTTGCGAAAACAATGATTTTTTTATTATTATTACAATGTAGCACAATTACGCAAAGAAATTGAGTGGGAACAGGAAGAGAAGAGGAAAGGAGGAATAACGTGAGGAGAAAAAAGGAAAGAAGAAGAAAGAAGGAAGGGAATAGGGAGAAAATGGTAGGAGGAAGAAAAACCGGGAAAAAGGAAGAAAAAACACAAGAAACAACTGTGAAAAGAAGAACGAGGAATGATTGCATTGAGCAGCATGAGGAGTACAAGTACCAAACCCTAGAATGTTGTACCCCATATAAGCTACCCCACTACAGCCTACACAGACTATAGTGTATAAGTTTGACACACCCCCATAGGCAAAGTGGGGGAGAACAAGGGGTCACAAGACCAGTCAAGCAAAGCAAGGCAAAGCAAGCTCAGGGTGGATCACAACGTCACCACACAGTCTGAGCACAAGTTCAAGGCCACAAGGCCAGTTCACATGCAAGGTCACATATATATAACGCTAAACAAGCAAGGGCAGGTATATATATGTAACAGTACAAGCAAGGTCAAGAAGTAAGCAAGTGAGGCAAGGTAGGCACAAGACCTAACAGAGTGCAGAAGCGCTGATGATCACAAGGCGCGAGTGCCTTAGTGAAGATATCAGCAGTGTTGGCCTCAGAGGCCACGTAAGCAAGGCGCAGCTGACCACGCTGCTGCAGCTCACGAGCAAGGAAGTAGCGGAGAGCGATGTGCTTCGTTCTGTGCTCCAGTCTGTGCTCATGACACAAGGCCAGCATGGCCTTGTTGTCTACGTACAGCACTGGAGGAGAACGAGGCGGCTCTCCCAGGTCAGTCAGCAGGTAGGTGAGCCAGCGTAGCTCCTGTGCAGCCATGGCCCCTGCGTAGATCTCAGCCTCACAACTGGAGCTGAGAACAAAAGACGAGCGGGTAGACCGCCAAGAAACAGAGCCGGAACCAAGGCTGAAGGTGTAACCCTGTGACGACCGCTGCGTAGCCTGGTCATCAGCCCAAGAAGCGTCTGCGTGACCAGTGAGGACCACTCGACTCCGCCCTCCAAGCACAAGCCCCATGCCCGACGTACTGCACAAGTAGCGCAACACCCTCTTCGCTGCAGCCATGTGCTCTGGTCTGTGTCTCCCAGGAGCAACATAGCGTGCCAGAATGCTAAGAGGGTATGCAAGGTCAGGTCGAGTGCAGGTCATCAGGTACATGAGGCAGCCGACAAGCTCTGGGTACGGGCCACTCGACTCTACGGACTCATCCGAAGGCTGAGCTGAGAGCGAGTGGCGTGTAGGCAGAGGAGTGGCCTGAGGCGAGGAGTACGTGAAGCCGAAGCGCTGAAGGACCTGCTGCACCATGTGTGACTGAGTCAGGGTAATGGTGCGCTGTGCTCTGTCCCGGGTGATCTGCAAGCCAAGGTAGCTGCGCAGTTCACCCAGGTCTGTGCACGTGTGTCTCTTCTGCAGCTCGGACTTCACGTAGGCAAGTCCAGCAGTGTCAGCTGTAGCAAAGACCAAGTCGTCGACGTACACGAGGATGTAGAACGGCGGCAAAGAAGTGTCGGTGCGCAGAAACAGCGACGGGTCGGCAGTAGAAGGAGCAAACCCAAGGGCCGCAAGTGTAGTCCTCAGTGTGTCGTGCCACTCACGAGGTGCCTGGCGGAGACCGTAGACTGGCCGCCGGAGGCTCCACTGGGTGCCAGGAGGAAAAGTCCCAGTGAAGCCAGGTGGGCGGCGCAGCCAGATCTCCTCGTGCAGGCTGCCCTGCAAGAAAGCAGTGCTGAAGTCAAGAGAGTGCAGCTCGTAGTCTCGGTGAGCGGCTATGTGCAGCAGTACCCGAAGAGTGGTCATCTTCGGGGTGGGAGAGAAGGTCTGAAAGTAGTCAACTCCCTGCCGCTGACTGAAGCCACGAGCCACGTAACGCGCCTTGAAGACAGGCGGAGAACCCGGCGGCCGCTTCACCCTGAAAATCCACATGCCACTGACGATGTTCGCCCCAGGCGGGGGAACCTCGTCAACGTAGGTGCCTGTGGACTTCCAGGAAGCCATCTCTGCGTCCATGGCTGCCTGCCACTGAGAGGAGTAGGGACCCTCTATCGCCTCCGCGTAAGAGCGCGGAGTCGGGATGTCAAGTGCATCCGGGTCTCCCTCAGGGGCAAGCAGCATGGACACGAGATGAGGTGAAGCAGCAGCCAAGCACTGGAACTCCTCCTGCCTGTCCTCAAGGACGTCCGTGCCAAGAGCACACTCACCCACGACGGACGGAGGACAGACAGACTCAGACTCAGCGACGAGACTGGTAGCGTAGTCTAGACGACAGCGAGCAGCGAAGTCGACAAGCTCAGCAACCAGGGCAGACGCAGCAGCAGACTCAAAGGAAGGGTCAGTGACGACAGTAGCAAGGAGACGCGTGACAGTAGGACGCGCAGCACGAAGGGAGTCCGACTCAGGGTCAGGAAGCTCAGGAAGAGAGGACGCTGGAGGAGAGGGCAAAGGGGCACTTAGCGGAGCAGTGGAAGGACGCAGAGACATCCGGTGCGTGCCAGGGACAGGGGGAGGACGCTGGCGCGAACCACGACCACTAGTGCGAGCAGCACGGACAGGCGACGCAGGGCGAGACGCAGGCTCACGACGCTCAGCAAGACCTCCAGTAGGACCAGCGTAGGGAGAAGGAGAAGGAAGCGGGGAAGGTGGCTGTAACTGTGACTCAGACTGGACAGGAGGCGGACACGCTAAGGAAGGAGCAGGACCAAGAGAGGACGGAAGACCAAGAACCTGCTCAAATAGCGGAACGAAGTACGGCCGTGGCCGCGCAGCGCCACCAGTGCCAGCACGGACAGCACCAGCACCCCCAACGGCAGCACCAGCACCAGGAGGACCCCCAGCTCCAGCAGCTCCAACTCCAGCACCCTCAGCAGCACCAGCGCCAGGAGCACCACCAGGGCCAACACCCCCAGTAGCTCCAGCTCCAGTCGGACCACCCGAAGACGCAGCAGCTCCAGCTCCAGGAGCACCAGCAGCACCAACGCCAGCAGCACCAGCAGCACCAGCAGCACCACCAGCTCCAGCAGGAGGAGCACTCGTAGGCCCAGCAGCTCCAGTACACTCGGTACGAGCACCTCTGGGACCCTCGGCACCAGCACTCTCAGCAGCAGTAGAACCTCCAGCGCCTGCAGCACCACCAGCTCCAGCAGCACGTCGCCAGCGCCGGGCGAACCACTCACGCAGCTCCTGTGGAGAGAGCAGCTCCCGCCGGGACGAAGCACCCGAAGAACTGTCAGGCTCAGCACCACCAGACGCCAGACGAGCAGGTCCAGCACCCTCAGGCTCCGCACTCCGAGACTCAGCACCCCCAGGCTCAGCACCTCCAGGCGCAGCACCCCCAGGCGCAGCACCCCCAGGCGCAGCACCCCCAGGCGCAGCACCCCCAGGCGCAGCACCCCCAGGCTCAGTACCCCCAGGCTCAGTACCCCCAGGCTCAGCACCCCCAGGCTCAGCACCCCCAGTCGCAGCACCCCCAGACCCAGCACCCCCAGGCTCAGCACCACCAGCAGCACCAGAGTCAACAGCTACCTCGACTGGCTCAACTGCATCTACCTGGGACACACCTGAGGGAGCAGGACCCTGAGGGGGGAGGGGGTCTACCGGAGGGGGACCTGGCGTAAGGAAGAGCGGCGGGGGAGGGAGGGACGCAGTGCGGTAGGGGAAGAGACGGTAGTAGGGAACCGACTCGTCAAAGGTGACGTCCTGGGACGCGAAGACACGGCGCGAGGTGGGGTGGTAGAACTGCCAGCCTGGCGCGTCAGGGGGAAAGCCAAGGAAGACGCAGGGAACAGCACGAGAGGACAGCTTGTCCGCAGACAAGTCGCGGACAAACGCCCTAGATCCCCAGACCCGGAAACGCGACGCATCACCAACCTTCCCCGTCCACAGCAAAGCAGGGGAGGTCTCCGGCATGGAGACCCGGGGGTGAAGGTTGAGCTGATGCGCCGCGTACCGAACCGCAAACGGCCACAGAAAATGGGGAGTAGCCGCATGGATCATGGACGTACGAGCGACGTCCATGATCATGCCGATGCGGCGCTCAGCAATCCCATTCTGCTGCGGAGAGTCCGGAAGCGTGAAGGTCTGGCGGATGCCTCGTGCGCGACAGAAGGCCCGCAGAAGGTCAGAGGAGAACTCTCCGCCTCTGTCGGAGTGCAGACGCCGAACAGGAAAGTCGGAGCCGAAACTCTCCTGGAGCTGGAGACGAGCTGCGCGGATCCAGGCGATCAACACCTCAGTGACGTCACCCTTGCTGCGCAAGGGGAAGACTGCGGTGTAACGCGAGTAGTCGTCAACCACCAACAGGAAGTAGCACTCCTGACCCTGCCCACGGACGCGGGCTGGGCCCCACACGTCCATGTGAAGCGTCTGCAGCGGAGCCTCTGTCGGAGGAAACTCGGAGGAGTGAGGGGCAGCGCGCTGCCGCCCCTCGACGCAGGGAACGCAGGTGGGGGCAGGCCCCGGAGGAAGAGGAGGGAGGGACCGGGGGAGGCCGGAGACAAGAAGACGGGAAGCCATGCCTCGAAGACGAGGCAGGGAGGGGTGACCAAGGCGGTGGTGCCAGAGGAGAGTCCGGTGGGACAGGAGACGACACGAGCAGGGGGCAGACTCAGGACCAGACCTGGACGCCGCAGCAAACACCTGACCCGACGCTGCTACCTGAGCAGACTCAGTGACTGGAGGAGACTCAGTGGTCAGTGTGTACAGGCTCGACCCTGGCCGACGAGCAAACGTGGCCAAGTGTCGGCCCGTGTCCGCACAAGTGCAGTGGGTCACCCGCTGACGCGCAGGGGTGAACTGGTCAACTCCTGCATCCTGGAGGTCAGCACCCGCTACCAAGTTCGTAGAGAATGAGGGGAGGTAGAGACCCGACAGGGAGCCAGACGGGACCGCCGGACACGGTAGGACAGTGGAGTAGTGAGCAAGGACAGGACCCCCAGAGGGGTCTGCCAGGGAGACCGCAACAGGTCGACTGAGCGGTGTGAGAGTGGTGCGGTCTCGAAAGAAGGAGCGGGAAGCACCCGAGTCAAGGGTGAAGGTGTGGGTGTCCGGTGACGACGCAGCACCTGAGAGCGCAAACTCACCGGCACCTGGGGCGGCAGACGCACTGGCACCTAGAGCAGCAGCCTCACAAGTACCTAGCGCAGCAGCCTCTATGCCTGGGTCAGGCGGAAAACACCGGTAACAGTCACCCTCATCACTAATAGTCACAGCATACATGGCAGCAAGAATAGCATCAAAATCAAGATCATAGATCGCAACACCCGCCCTAGACAGCTCGCCCCAGCGAGGGATCTCAGTAGCGTCGGGGAACTGGTGGCGCCACGCGTCCGTCAGACGACCGAAGCAGCGCTGGGTGGGGTGCGCGCCCCCACACTGCTCACCCGCCCGGTCGCCGGTACGGAGAACGTAGGTACAGGGGCCAGCACCCCCGCCCCGCTGACGAGCAGCGTACCACTCACGAAGCTGCTGGGGGGAAGGGGTCTCACGGGTACGCTGCTGCTGCTGCTGCTGGCGCGCACCACCACCGGAGCCACCCCTCTGCGCAGCGCCACCCCGACCAGCTCCACCGCCTCCGCCGCTACCACCTCCAGTACCGCCACCTCCGCCACCTCCGCTCCCACCGCCAGTGCCGCCTCCGCCTCCACCTCCAGTCCCGACACCAACGCCCCCACCCCCGCCACCACCCCCACCGCCACCCCCACCCCCTCCACCACCTCCACCTCCGCCTCCACCGCCCCCGCCAGCTCCCCCAGCGCCCTTGCCCCCCTTGCCCTTGCCAGAGCGGCGTCTCCCGCTAGGGGCAGACGCCGCAGCGACCGACTCAAGACCAACGAGGTCGGCCGCAGCAGCAGAGGCAACAGAGGGCAAGAGGGGAGAGGGGGAGCACCCCTCAAAGACAGGGGCACGAGGGTCACCACGAGAGGCTCCTACAGCGACTATGCTCTTCTCTGCCGCTAGAAGGCGCTCCTCGAGGAGGTCAACGGTGAGGGTGGTGGGGCAAACAGAGAGGAAGTGGTCCCTAACCGGGCGAAGGGTGTCAGGGAGCCGGGTGACTATGTAGTAGAGGGTGATGTACATGGGGGGGGGGGGAGGGTTCTTGGCGCAGAACTCAGCAGGAAGCGCAGCGCGGTAGCGAGTGTCACTAGTGCGAAGGTGCGTAATGAGGTCAGCGACAGTGGGAAAAGCGGCGAGGTCAGGGAAGAGGTACGGCAGGATGAGGCGGCTAAGTGCAGCAGTGGCAGGGGAAGAGTAGCGTGCAACCATAGCGTCGTACAAGGTCTTAGCACTCTTGTACTGGCTAAAGTGCGCACGCTCAGCGGTCGGCAAGTGGCGGCGCACAGCAAGGCGGGCAGCAGCATCGCGCGTGGCCCACTGTGAGCGAACAGTGGGGTCAGCATCAGCAGCAGGGGCAGGAGAGGCACCAGAAGTGAGGTCAAAGAGGGAGAGACCGTCTGCCCTATCGCACTGTAGGAAGAGCTGCAGATCATCTATCCAGACCTCAAAGTCAACAGCTCGACCCTCAGCGTCAAAGGTGAGAACACTGGGGGTGGCCATGACAGCAGTGTGAGCAGTAGGCTAAGGGCAGTGCAGTGACAGAGGCGCTGCTCTTACCGGGCAGGCGAGAGAAACCAAGACTTGCCGGGAATGGCGGCTCGGCGGCAACTGCGGCTCGGCGGCTCAGCGACAACGGCGACTCGGCGGCTCGGCGGCTCGGCGGCTCGGCGGCTCGGCGGCTCGACAGCAACGGCGGCTCGGCGGCTCGGCGGCTCGGCGGCTCGGCGGCAACGGCGGCTCGGCGGCTCGGCGATCCGGCGGCTTGGCGGTTCAGCGACTCGGCGGCTCGGTGGTAGGGCGGCGTCGGGGTCGCGAGGGGCGGCAGAGGCGCGGACAGGCGGCGGCGTGGTCGCAAGGGGCGGCGACGGGGCCGAAAGGGGGCGGCGACGGGGCCGAAAGGGGGGCGGCGACGAGGCCGCAAAGGGCGGCGACGGAGGCCGTAGGAGGCGGCGACGAGGCCGGAAGGGGGGCGACGACGGGGCCGCAAGGGACGGCTACGGGGCCGCGAAGGGGGTGCGGCGACGGGGCCGCGACGGTCGGCGACGGGGCCGCGAAGGGGAGGGCGGCGACAGGGCCGTAAGAGGCGGCGACGGGGCCGTAAGGGGCGGCGACGGGTCCGCGGAAGGGCGGCAACAGGGGCCGCGAGGGCGGCGACGGGGCCGCAAGAGGCGACGGGGCCGCAGAGGGCGGCGTCGGGGCCTCGCCGGGCGGCGTCGGGGTCGCGTAAGGGTGGCGACGGGGGGCCGCCAAGGGAGGCGACGGGGTCGCTAAGGGCGGCGACGGGGCCGCTAAGGGAGGCGACGGGGCCACTAAGGGCGGCTCACCGATCGCGTCCCGGGCAGGGGCGACGCGCGCGCCGGGCAGGAAAAAAACTCGATATTAATGGGCCCTAGGAAGAAGTTCCCTGCTCTGAAACCATGTGAAAAGAAGAACGAGGAATGATTGCATTGAGCAGCATGAGGAGTACAAGTACCAAACCCTAGAATGTTGTACCCCATATAAGCTACCCCACTACAGCCTACACAAACTATAGTGTATAAGTTTGACAACAACATCAAGAAAACCCCAATAGCACACACAATTGAAACCCCGTCAAACCATCCCATCAAAACACCCCAACTGCACTCCCATCGAACAAAAACACCCCCCCTAAACCCACCCTCTAAACCCGCATGTCTACCAAGTAGGGTGCATCCGCCCACGGAGCATCCCATCCCATCTCCTCCTCAACATCCTCCCGCTCCACCCAAACAGCCTCTGGACCTCTCATCATCGACGCCGCGCGTAACAAGATCACACGCGCCTGAGCCCGCTGCAAAGCCACACCCACGGCCGCTTTGAGTGAACCGAGCAAATAAGTCGAGAAACCCTTTCCCGTAGCTCGCGCCGCCCCTTTCGTCTTTGCTATCTCGATCTGCGCGTCACCCTGCTTCTTAAGCCACCGTCCAAAACTCCCCCCCAAGCATCCCCATGTCTCAGCAATGAGAGGTGTGAACTGCACTCCCCTATGCCGCTGTAGAAGCGATTTGTAGTCCGCCGCCTTCCGCTTTTCTCTCTCACGGCAAAACCCACCTTGCGCCCAATCTGTCCATGGTGCTGCGCGGATAGCGAGATAGGGTCTACCACACTAACCTCCAACGCGTGCTCCTCCCCCTCCCTCAGTTTCCGAACCGCCACATCAACCCTCTTCCCTGGGAGCAACGTGTCGTCTTCCATGGTCACAATCCCACCCGCACCCTTAGCTATCTTCGCCACCACAAACTTAACCGCATCGTGAACACGAGAAGGTGCATACTGATACTTGCAGCGAAGGGCATGATGCGGGTCAGAGGGATCAGCAAACTCAAACCCACACGCGCACTTGCCGGCCACTATCAGCTGCTGTATAGGGAGGCCTAAGCGCATGGACGCGCAGATGCTCCACTCGGCTGCGGTGAAGGTAGCCTCCTCGTGCGAAGGAACGGCAGAAACCCACGCCCCAGCCCCCGGGCCCTAGAGGGATGTCAAACGGGCCAAGGTGGCATCGTTGTGGGCCATGCCTCGAAGAGATTGAAGGCTCTCAACCGCTAGGCGACGGTGTTGTGTGGAGAAGAGCAGCACAGGGGGGTCAGCAGTGCACAAGGCAAGGGGTGGCATCTCCTGCCGGACCGACTGTGGAAGCAGATCCACTGCTCTCGCAAACCAGGGGTCCAACAAGGTCGTAGCCTTGAGCGTTCGGAAATACTCCTCAAACATCCGCTCCTCACCTGCCACCCCCAACCGAGCCACATCGCTCACTGCTTGGCACCAGCCACATGCATACGACAGAGGACTAAGGTCAGCCGCAGATCGAATGCCAAACCCTCCGAGTCTGGCAGGAAGGTGCAGCTGTAAACGAGCCATCTGAGACTTCCCCGAATCGTGATCCCAGGTACTATCTGGAAACAATCTTCTAGCTTCATGTCCCAGTCCCGAAAAGCCTCCACAACCTCAGGTCGTGGAGGCATCGTCCGTGTGAGGTAAATCGGGCGCGCTGACACTGCGATCGCCAGCAAATGGGACGCAATCTGTGGGTGGTCAAGCAGAGGAAGCCAGGGGACAGGTGCATGCAGCTCCGTCAGCCGGCGACGCAGGCTAGCCACCTCCCAGTCCTCCTCCCCAATGGGGACCCCTACCACAGTGAGCCCCGTCCATGTCTGCTGCATGCCGGGCGGGACGGTCTCATTTCTCTCCTCCCCATCCTGGTTCCTCCCTCGCTCCCATAGCTTACACTTATGCGGCTGCACCTCCAAACCCAGCCCGTCCAATCGTTCCCGCAAGGCCTCATAGGCTGCTAAAACCCGCTCCCTAGGCCCCAGGATATACGTATCATCAGCATAGCTGAGGAAGAGTAAGTCGGCGAACTCTGTTTTGGTTGGTTCCATAACCAGCTGCTGTGTGAACGCGAACAGAAACGGACCCAATGGGTCCCCTTGCCTCGAGCCCCGCTCGGAGGCCAAAGCTTCGACAAAAGGGCCCGCACGGAGATAGAGGTCGCTAGGAGTGCCATAGAAGACACGCAGAAAATGGAATCAATCCCTTGAAAGGCGACTGTCGAAATGAAACATTTCCCGCCGATGGAAGGAGTTGAAAGCGTTCGCCACGTCAATTTGCAGCGCACACCACGACGGGTGAGTAGAGATGGCGGAGCGAAAGGCATGTGCGAGGACTTCCACTCCCGACCTGGACCCAAATCCAAACTGGTTACACGGAGCAAAGTGCGACATCATCTTCGGACGAAGCACGATGCATATGGCCCGAGATAGTATGCGGGGGAGCACCTCGCCTATAGCCACCGGGCGAACGTCACCATTCGGCTTCGACAGGCCCACCGGGTTGGACGCAGTGAGCCAGGGTCGCACGCGCTCCGCTACCTCTCCCTTGGTCCACTGGGTGAAGGCCTCTAGCAGATGGGGCAGGTACGCGGGCTCGGTGAGAAAAGTGTCGCGTAGGTGCTCCGTCACCCACCCCGACAGTCTTGGTGCGGACGCCCTAGCCGCTGAGTGGATCGCCTGACCGAGGACCTCCACTGAGAGCTGTGGGATAAGGGAAGGCTCGACTGTCTCCTCCTGCACCCACCCAGGAATGGCGGTCTCGCACGATGGGTGTTTCGCTCGTAGCGCGTCCACCATGTGCTGAGAGGGCTGAGCGATGCTACCAGCGGTAAGACACGCCAAACCCCGACTCCATTCTCCCACTTTGCACCTTGTACGGCAGCGGGACAGGCGCACTGCATCAGGATCATGCTCGGGTGGGGTGAAGGACAAGGGGCGAGCCGCAGGTTGCGAGCCGCAGGTTGCATCGCCGCCACCGCCAACTCAAACAGCTGCTGCCACTCCCCAGCCCAAAACTTCTCCAACCGCTCCCTAATTGCCGCCCTCTGCCCTTGGCCTTGCCCAGTTGGAATCCCCAAGAAAAGACGAAGGATGCCGCCTCGTCTGCTGCCTTTGACTGGAGCCGCTTCAGGATACAAGCTAGTGCATCAAGCACCCCCAGTCTTGCGCGCTGTGGGATGCGACGCATGATTCTCCCTGGCACCAATTCGATCCCGAAAAACGACTCCCAGTCCCATGTGGGAACTGCGGCCCACACCTCTTCACTGATATCCCGTGGTGGCGGAGGTTCGCTGTCCGAGTCGTCTGTGACGTCGCGGGTCAACCCAAGCGCCTACGCACGACGCTGGGCGTCCGCTGCCCTGCAGGCCGACATATGACGCGTGGCCTTTCCTCTCTCCGTGAAAGTGCGATAACAGGTTTCGCACGGGATGCGGGGCGGGGGTGTCAGCATAGGGTCTGGGTGCTCCTCTCCACTCGAACACGCCGGCAAGACCTGTCTGCTCGACTCCATCTCCATCTCCCCCTCTGGCAGCCTCGCAAGCTGCAGCCAATCGGGCAGCTCCTGCTGCCCTCCGCTCTGCAGCTGCTGCTGCCCTCCGCTCTGCAGTTGCTGCTGCCCTCCGCTCTGCAGCTGCTGCTGCCCTCCGCTCTGCAGCTGTTGCTGCCCTCCGCTCTGCAGCTGCTGCTGCCCTCCGCTCTGCAGCTGCTGCTGCCCTCCGCTCTGCAGCTGCTGCTGCCCTCCGCTCTGCGGCTGCCACTGCCCTCCGCTCTGCAGCTGCCCCTGCCCTCCGCTCTGCAGCTGCTGCTGCCCTCTGCTCTGCAGCTCCTGCTGCCCTCCGCTCTGCAGCTGCTGCTGCCCTCCGCTCTGCAGCTCCTGCTGCCCTCCGCTCTGCAGCTGCTGCTGCCCTCCGCTCTGATTGGGCTGCTGCCCTCCGCTCTGCAGCTGCTGCTGCCCTCCGCTCTGCAGCTGCTGCTGCCCTCTGCTCTGCAGCTGCTGCTGCCCTCCGCTCTGCAGCTCCTGCTGCCCTCCGCTCTGATTGGGCTGAAGCCCTCCGCTCTGCAGCTGCTGCTGCCCTCCGCTCTGATTGGGCTGAAGCCCTCCGCTCTGCAGCTGCTCCTGCCCTCCGCTCTGCAGCTGCTGCTGCCCTCCGCTCTGCAGCTCCTGCTGCCCTCCGCTCTGCAGCTGCTGCTGCCCTCCGCTCTGCAGCTCCTGCTGCCCTCCGCTCTGCAGCTGCTGCTGCCCTCCGCTCTGATTGGGCTGCTGCCCTCCGCTCTGCAGCTGCTGCTGCCCTCCGCTCTGCAGCTGCTGCTGCCCTCCGCTCTGCAGCTGCTGCTGCCCTCCGCTCTGCAGCTGCTGCTGCCCTCCGCTCTGCAGCAGTTGCTGCTGCCCTCCGCTCTGCAGCTACTGCTGCCCTCCGCTCTGCAGCTGCTGCTGCCCTCCGCTCTGCAGCTGCTGCTGCCCTCCGCTCTGCGGCTGCCACTGCCCTCCGCTCTGCCGCTGCCGGTGCCCTCCGCTCTGCAGCTGCTGCTGCCCTCCGCTCTGCAGCTCCTGCTGCCCTCCGCTCTGCAGCTGCTGCTGCCCTCCGCTCTGCAGCTCCTGCTGCCCTCCGCTCTGCAGCTCCTGCTGCCCTCCGCTCTGCAGCTGCTGCTGCCCTCCGCTCTGATTGGGCTGCTGCCCTCCGCTCTGCAGCTGCTGCTGCCCTCCGCTCTGCAAATGCGTTTTCATGAAAGTCACATGAGAAATATTTCATACGAGGCTCATATTGTCGAGGAGAAAAGGCCCCGCCCTCGCTTGGGCGAAGTCGGCCATGCTTTTCGGAGCACAACGGTGTTCGTTTCGTGGTCATCGGCGACTTCAGGGACTTTTATCTCTGAACGACGGGTCGATTTTCGACGAGATTAATTCGTCGAAATTGAAGTGTTGTTTCTGCTTTAGGCAACTGCCCCTAGACCAGGCACTTGTCAAAGGGAGCAAAACGGCGTCAAAATCGAGCCTTGCGGGTCGACGAAATGGTAGAAAACAGCGTTTCGACGAAACGCTGGTCGACAGAATTAAGCTCGAAACAGGCACCGTCGAGCAGAGCGTTGCTGGTCGACAAAAGTACTTGTCTCCAAAATTCGCAATGTGCGCGAATTTCGACCAATCGCGAAACAGCAAATTTCGACCAATCAGAGAATTTCGGAAATTGTACTCCCCAGGAGATTTCGAATCAATAAGGGAACTGAACCTGAAACACGTTTTTACTAACAGTAAAAACGTAAACAACTCTGAAAGCTGTAAACCTGAGAAACTGCCAACTCAGGTGAAAGACACATGTGCTTGTCGTTTCACCTGCCGTTGCTGACTCGGATAAGTCAGGTGTTAGCCGAGGAACATTTCTCTAGGGTTCATTGTTCTTGCTATTTGGTTCTCCTTGCTTGTACCATAATCTTGTTCTATCAATTTTTCCTAGTGAATCTCTACTTGAATTCTATCAAGGCATTCCAACACTCTGTCAAAGAATCACTGCCATAACTCTGACCGTGCGTCCCACGCAAGTCAGCTCTCCCTTAGACTAGAATTCTCCGCATGGTGCGGTGAGCGTGGAACGGCCCCGCGTTAGAACCTTCAGAGTAGCCGACTTTAGCGCTCATTACCTAAGTTGTTGTAGGCCGGCAGCCGTCTAGACCGCCATGGTCGACCAGGAGGAGGTCGCTGCAGGCGTAGAGGATACCCTGCAGGCGCGGTTAGATGACGTTCGGGCACGCCACGCAGCTGGCGAGTACGGCGGAGCGAACTTGGATGTTATGCTCTTTGGAACCCGCGTGCAGTGGGCGCGCGATCATCCAACGACCCGTACTGTGGCGGATGGTCTGCCCGCCACTCCCCGACCGGCGCACAACGAAGGGGACGTCGACGACCAGGTCGACGGTGGTGACCAAGTCGGCAGCGAAGGCAGCACGAGGGTTCGTGGAGTGATTCGGGCCGCTGACCTTGGCGTCGGCGGAATGCGGGCGCGGGTTTTGCATCCGGCGGTAGCGGGAAGCTCGAACGGCAACATCGATGGTCGACGCCTTTCTCCTCAGCGGAGTGGAGCCAGGCCGACTTCGGCGACTCATGCGTCGGCTGGTCGAGACGGAGGCATCGCTCCGGCGTATGGCTACTTCAAATTTTCGCCGGACAAGATCGCTGTGCCGAAGCCGCTCGAAGGACGACATGACTTGATCACATGGATTGAGTCAATCGAACCCCAGCTGGAGATCGCCAGATTGAAGAAGTTTGTTGACGGCAAGATGGAGATGCCGGACGAAGACGACTCTGCGTTGTTGGCGGAATTTCGCGCTGCTCACCTTCTGACCTTCATGGTCCTTTCGAGGTGTTGTTCGCCGCTGGTGCAAGTCGCGCTGAAGCCGTGCCGACTTCGAGTGGACGCCGGCTACCAAGTGTGGCAATACATCATGCGCACCTACAGAGCGACCGACGACCTCTACATCAGCCAACTGGAGAAGAAATTGGCCAACATTCGCATGGGCGAGCAGGAATCGGCGACTGAGTACCGCAATCGAGCGCGGCGAATTTTGGCCGACATGCGGATGGCTGGCTTCGAGTACTCGGTGGCGTCGTATGTCACGCATGTTATCAATGGCCTCCCCTCGAGCTACAATCTGATGCGCCGGATGCTGATAATGCCTGGCACGCGCAAGACTCTGAACGAGGATTCGCTCTCAAGTCACATCATCCAGGATGAGCTCATGCAGGAGTCTGAGCGGTCTTCAGAGCTCCTTCCGCAGGCCAACTACGTCACTCCGACGAAGCAGGGACGTCAAACGGGGCAGCGTGGGAAGTCGGGCGGAGGTGGAGGCGGTGGCGGAAAGTCGTCGAACACCAAGTCTACGGAGAACGCAGACCGTGGGAAGTCGGCGAAGGGCAATGATTGCGGAAGCAGTGGTTCGCGTCGAGGAGGACGCCGCTGCTACATTTGCGGAGTGTTAAAAGGACTAGGCAAGAATGATTGAAAGGAGAGAGGTTTCACTAGCAGCAGTTGGGGTACATATAGCAAACCCTAACTGGGTTGTACTCGCTATAGAGCACCCCACTACAGGCTAGACAATAATAACATTCTGACACACCCCCATAGCCAAAGTGGGGTGTAATCAGTACAATGAGCAGGCATAGCAATAGTTCACAATTATAAGCAAAGCTAGAGGTGATCATAGAGGGCAAGTGAGGAGGAGGAGAAACTGTGAGGGCGAGAAGATGAAAGGCGCCGACTGAAGCTGCAGACACACGGGCAACAGGAGCGGCGCGCACAGTGGCTACCGAGCGCACGAGGGCACCGGACTACGGGAGTATCTGGCTCCGCGGCTACGACGAGCACACACAGGAGCAACGGACCCACAGGCGACTGGCGAAGCAGGCTCGCTGGGCTACCGAAACGCGCGAGGGCATCCGGACTACTGGCGCTGCTGGCGTCACGACGGCTACCTCCACGCAACCTCCCCCGACCGTCCCACGCCCCTCTCACACACCCCCTGCTGACACCCTAGCTCCACTTCCACGGCACCCCCCTTAAACCCTAAACCCTCGGCTCCCACACACCCACCCCCCTCAGCGGCAGCTGCAGCAGTGGGAGACGGAGGAGGAGGAGGAGCCGCAGGTTACCCACACCGGTCACCCCCATGCCCGCCACCCCCAAACCCTAACGCAGGCAGGAGCGCGGGAAACAGCAGGGGCGGGGCACGGAGGGAAAGGGAGGCAGCGGGGTGGCTCTTGGGCGCCACGAAGAAGCAGGGCGCGGGCCCCCCGAGGGCGCCACGGCGGGTGACGGGAGGGGGGCCGCGCACGGGCCCCCGAGGGCGGCTCGACGGGCGACGGGAGGGGCCGCGCGCGGGCCCCCTAGGCGCCGCGACGAGGCGACGGGAGGGGGCGGCGCGCGGGCCCCCAAGGTGCCGCGACGAGGCGACGGGAGGGGGGGGACGCGCGGGCCCCCAGGGCGCCGCGACGAGGCGACGGGAGGAGGACGACGGGGGGCAGCGCGCAGGTCCCCGGGGGCGCCACGACGGGCAGGAAACCGCCGCGCGCCTCGGGGCGCACGGCGGGCAGAAAACCGCCGTACGCCCTGAGCGCACGGCAGGAAGAAGACGGCGCGCGCCCGAGGCGTGCGAGAAGCAGAATAGCAGCGGAAGCAGTTAGGTGGCGGGCCCACCCACAGGATCGACCCAAGGGGGTCGACCTGCTCTGATACCATGTCAACAGAACTAGGCAAGAATGATTGAAAGGAGAGAGGTTTCACTAGCAGCAGTTGGGGTACATATAGCAAACCCTAACTGGGTTGTACTCGCTATAGAGCACCCCACTACAGGCTAGACAATAATAACATTCTGACAACTCTGACCATCTCTCGTACGACTGCCCTGACCGCGACGAGTCCGACGACGATCAGAAAGGAAGCCGCGGAAAGTTTGAAACCGCTCGTCGATCAGAGGACGGGAAGTCTGACGACGATCGTCGGCGGCGAGACAACAAGCCGCGGAAGGAGAAGCCGACGTCGTCGAAAACGCCGTCGTCATCGGAGGCCGGTACCTCGAGCGGCAAGGAAGCCTCTTGTTCGATGGTTGGCGTGGTCGACCCAACAATTTTGCTAGCGCCGGAGGCTGGCGAGGACTTCCAGGCGGTAGCAGCAGCCGTGCAGGCGAATCCGACTGTGGTTCTCCTCGACAGTGGCTGCTCCCATCATCTGATGGGAACGCGAGAGGCCTTCGTCGAAATGAAGCCAGGAGGAGAAATCCGTCACGTGCGCGGATTCAACGGGGCGCTTCAGAACGTCGAAGGCCGTGGCACAGTTGCTCTGGAAGGGGAGACCGGGAAGCCGATTCTCATCCCCGACGTGTTGTACGTTCCGGGCGTGCACGCGAATCTACTGTCTGCTGGTCAGCTGAAGGAAAACGGCGTGAAGCTGCAGAACGAGGGTGACGAGATGCTGCTCGTTTCCGCTGCAGGAGATGTGCTCGGTCGAGCACGCTACACCGGCCGGGTCCTCTGCACCGACCTCCGCCCCTGCTCCTCGAAATCGACGACATCTTCGACTGAGGCAGTTGCTCTGCGGACGATCGCATCTGCGACGAAGTCGACGCTAGACAAGTGGCACCCGAGGCTCGCGCACGTCGGCATTGACACGATTAAGAGTTCGGCGAAGCATGGTGTTGCCGTCGGTCTGGACATCCAGAAGTCGACCGGAGCCGACCTGCCGTGTGCCTCCTGTGTCGGAGGGAAACTAGCGCGACATACTTTTCCAGAGAAGGGATCGGACGCTGACAACGCCCTTGACGTCGTGCACATTGACCTCTGCGGCCCCTTCCGCGTGGCCGCCATGGATGGAAGCCTCTACTTCCTTCTCCTCAAGGACCGCAAGACCCGCTTTGTGTGGGTCCGCCCGATCGCGAAGAAGAGCGATGTGCTGGTCGTTTTCGAGAAGTGGCTGAAGGAAGTGGAGCGGCAGACTTCGAAGTCGGTGAAAAGGCTGCGCTCTGACCGCGGAGGGGAATTCCTCGGCCGGGCCTTCACCGATCTCGTCGAGGACAAGGGTATCCTCCACAACCTCACGTGCCCCTACACTCCGCAACAGAATGGCATGGCAGAGCGGGAGATGCGCACGGTCGTCGAAGCTGTGCGGACGATGCTGCTTCACATGGGGGTGAAGCATCACTGGTGGCACCTCGCCCTTCGCCACGCCGTCTGGGTGCGCAACTGCCTCGAACGGGCTTCACTTCC